GACAATTTTGTCAAAATCAACTAAGTTTATCATCGAGGTCAAAACGGAGCTAAGCCAACGCTTCAAGATGAAGGACCTTGGAGAAATAAGCTACATCCTCAAAATGGAGGTAACTCAAGACATATCAAAGAAAGCTATGGGAATATCACAGAAGAAATATATTGGTGATCTTTCAGAAAAGTATACTGTAATATGATTGATTGCCGAGTTGCGTCAACACCACAAGTTACTGGATTGAATCTGGTTCCAGAAAGTGATATGAAACCAGATGAAATTTTGAAACAACCCTACGATTATCGTGGTATTGTTGGGTCGCTGCAGTACTTAGTCCGGGGTACGAGGCCCGACATAGCTAATGCAGTTAGAGAGCTTAGCAAGTTTTTATCTTGCTACAATAAGACGCATTGGGAGGCAGCCCTTCGAGTACTGAGATACTTGAAAGGGACGTCCGAATACGGCCTCTATTTAGATGGGACTTTAAGAGATGTGCAGTATGAGGTCTACACGGACGCAGCTTTCGCGTGTCAACAAAAAAGAACGTAAATCAGTCTCTGGCTACTTGGTTCTATTAGCTGGAGCATGTATCTCTTGGTCTAGCTCTAGACAATATTGTGTTGCTCTATCAACCTTAGAGTCTGAGCTTGTAGCATTGAGTGAGGGAGCAAAGGAAAGCGAGTGGTTGTGGCACTTGTTGACCGAATTAGGATTTGTGCCTAAGCAGCCTATTCAAATTTGGTGTGACAGTACGGCTGCTATAAGTTGTGTCCAGAATCCTGGAAATCACAAAGGCACAAAACATATTGAGACCAGGTATCTTTTCACTCCAGATCTGGTTGAACAGGAAAGAGCAAAGTTGAGTTTTTGCAGGACAAATGAGATGATTGAAGACCTCCTAACCAAGGCATTCCAGTTGGTCAGTTTGCAATCCTTAGAGCTAAGATGGGTGTCCGCAATTTAGCACAAGTTGCTCCAAGGGAGTGTTAGACGGGAGAATATCCTGTTAAACCAGATATGCGTAGTATACTTATTGTGCTCACTTTGTATAGTGCTAAACTATACATGATCTTATATGAGAGATTTTATGGAGATGAGTATGTCACTAGATGTCCCACGGACATGGTGATCAGTAATTGGGCAGTGACTTAGAGACAACCTGCAACCCTAGTCCCCAGTGGCTATCCACTAATTGAGACCATAGATACATGAGTGGCTTGCATGTATATCTGTTGGCTATGATGTGCCGAGTTGATTCTGCAGGCCCTTTGGTCATTCCAGTTTCTTCTCTAAACTGAGCCCTTACTGCTGCCCAACCGCTGCTACTCAACCACACTTTTCTTCCGATTGCTCCGCTCCCACTGGGGCCTACCAGTCTATGCTCCGATACTTCAGCTTTTCCGTTTCTGAGTCTTGGTCTGGGCGCCCCATCACGTTGCTGCCTCGCGGATAATGGGGTTAAATTTACTGGCACCGGGTGCAGATGCAATATGTCAATGAACATAACTGTACGCCTAGAAATAGTACTTCAAGTATTACGCCTAGAAATAGTACTTCAAGTATTACACTTTAGAACTACTACTACGTCGGACTTGGACACTAGTCGAGTGGGGAGATCGTTAGCATGTGCAGGTAGGTACCATAACGTCGCCT